GCCGTTCTGGGTCCAGGTGTTTTCAAAAGAATTCTCATCCATGTGGATGCCACGTATGCATCTACCGTGGCCAAAAGTTAACACCGTTAAAGCAATTTGGATGGAAAGTCCCACATTGAAATCAATTAATTAATTTGGGACCAAATTGAGACAAAAAATTAATGAGGGACTAAATTGAAACAAAAAAATATTATAAAGGATCAAAATAGGATTTTAACCGATATTAACTTGTGGAATAACTGGCACGTAATCTCAGTCTTTGCCAGTCATTAAGTGTTGGACACACCATTGTATTAATAATAAAAATGGTATAAAAAATTCTATAAAAATATTTTATTTTATTTATATCTTAGCCACAGTTGCATATGTTATTTAACGCATAATACCGATTGCATTTTCATGAGTTTCAACATCAACAAACTGTATCCATGGTATTTTCCTTAAGGTTCATCTTTTAAAAAATTATATTCATCGTCTTAAAGTATATATCAATAATTTTTATGGAATTATATAATTATACTCATGATGAAGAATATATATTTAGATGAATTTCTCTATAAAAAAATAAAAATAATAACTTTTAAAAGTTAAAATTAGTTTATATATGAACTAATTTATAAAATTCATTTTTATAATTAAATTTTTTTAAAGATTGATCTATAATTTATATATATAAAAAGTTGTAATATCCTATTTTTCATAAAATATAATATATTTTATTATTAATTTTAGTATTTTGTTTTTATTAATAGGAGTTGTTTAGTATTTATTTAATTATTTGGTATGTTTTGAAATATAATATAAGGTGTATTATTATTGTTGATTTTATTTAAATATTTTATTTAATTAATTTGAAAGGGAAAGAATCAATAACTTAGGTTAATAGTTTTAACTGGAGGGTTAAAGAGATATTAATATTTTTTAAATAGTAATTTTTTAATCGGGCCCTCTTATATTTTTTATTTTATGTATGTGTTTCAGAGCTCAGAAAGCAGAGTAGAAAGGAAATTATCTGAGAGTTGTGCATTTATTTTCTTCTGTTTACCAAGATAAGAGAGAGTGAGAAACTGCGCTCTAAGTGTGAGTTTGTATGTTAAATAGTGAGATTAACCCCAAATCTTATGTATGTTATATGTTCATGTATGAGAGGTTTTCGCCAAATGCATCTATTTTGTCTCTTGTCCTTCTTACACATTTCTAATGACATAATTTATTTGAATGATTAATCAATTGTATGTCTTGGATTGTAATTGTATGATCTGAGGTCCCTATGAGTTCTTGTGGGAAACCCTAAGGGAACTTGTTGTCATGTTAGTGTAAAGATATTGTTGAATACGTAAATTGAGTAATATGAAATGTTAATTGTATGTTATAGAGTATGTTTTCAGATTGAATTGTGTTTTAATAATTTGAAGTGTGACTCATACGTAATTCTATGTCTACTATTGTGCGTATTATTTCTGATACATCATCGAGTGTCATTTGAGGCACGTTGGGCATTGTCAAGGTCGAGAGCAAAGTTTGCTCTCAGAGTCTCTCATGTTGGGCATCGGATAACCCTCGCTGAGCACAGAAGCTCCAAGGGTTCCTTGTTACGCTTTTGCTGAGCATGAACATTCTAAAGAGCTCTCAGTAGTATTCTCGTCGAGTGTGAGCTTGATCACGCCAAATGCAATCTAAACAAAGACCAATGTGGTCCTCTAGAGGTATCGCGCTAGGCACAAGGTGTGCACCGCTAGGTGTCATCCTACTTGTGAATCCCCTATTTTTCTTTTGTTAAATTTCATGTTGTAATTCTATATTAAGATGTTGATGTGGATGTGAATTAATATTTATATATAAATATATATATGAACATGAATGATGAATAGTGTGCTATGAAGAGTATGTGAAATGTGAAACTATGGAGCCATGTTAATGTAATATATTGAGTTTGTTTGGCATGGATCATTTGCATAAAAGTGTTTATTTTAAGAATACGATATGGAATACACTACCAAAGAAGACCCCCTTGTGTAAAGTTTCAAGATCAATCCTTGAGGATAATTCAATTTGGAAGTCTTTGTCTTGTCCTTTGTATGTATGGGATGTATCTTATGTGAGTTAGTTATCCTCACCAAACCTCGGTAGTATGTTCTTCTAGTGAGAGTACGTAGAGGGCATGACCTGACATGTATACCTAGACTACTCTAGTATATTGCTAATGACAATGCACAAGTGTGATGTTTTTACTAGTGCTACATGCATGATAATATGTAGTCCGTATTTATTAATTGCATATGCATTATAATGTATCTGTTATGTTTTAGTATGCTACGATTGAACAATTGTGATTATAAATGTTTATTTATGTATGTTATATCATATTATACATGTTGTTTGTGTTTAGCTAATCGATTTGCGATCCTACATCGTAAGTCAAAAGAAGATGTTTCTCACTCCCTTTTCGTTAGTGTTGGTTTTCTTATATTTTCACAAGTGATCATCAGCATGGTGCTGAGAATATTAGTGATGAGACCTAATCCTTAATGATGGATTGTGCTTTGACAAGATATATGACATCAGGATGTAGTTAAAGACTAGTTAGGATTTACTTCATGCTATTTAGTTTGAGTAATTTGATTTTTATTCATTTGTAATTCTATTAATTTCTTTAAGTCCAATTTATGTTAACAATTTGATCCCCTCTATTGTATGAATTTTGAGTTTAATTCTTATATTAAGGTTATTCAGTTTTATATTATTATATGTTATGCCATGTAGAATAAAGGGGATAAAAAACTAATTTTAACATATAGAGAATTTTATTTTATTTTTTCCTTTTATTTTTTCCTTCTAAAAGAACTTATGAGAAAGTTTATTTAAATAGGTCTTTAGGCAACTATACGTTTAAATTTGCATAACAATCAATCTACCCTAGCAGTTTATGTGTTACATGAGTGATTAATATTTCATGTTAGAATCAACGTATTACTTTAATATATAGTCAATTAACGACAAAGGTCACAATTAAGGTTTTTTTTATATAATTTTAATGTAATAATGTTTAATCCCTAAAATTAATTCATATTTTCTAATTATATAAGTAGAATGTAACTAGCACATTTGAGATTTAATTAATTAAATCCATAAATTTTTTATAAAAAAAAAAAAACTAGCCTAAAAAGTAATAATGAACTAGTAATAAAAAGAAATCCTAAAAATTTAATGATTCTACCAATAGATCTAGCTCCATTACTTGACAAAGATATGTGATTGATATATACACTCTTATACCAAATTTGAATCACATAGATAATATTTTTTTCATGATATCTGATAAAAGTATTCTTATACTACTACACGCAAGCTTAAGTTATTCTTTATTATATACAAGACCTAATTATTAATGTCCAAATATAATTTGAGATTTTTTTTGTTCGCATATCTCTTAATTTATTATGTTAGAAACTAATCTTATTTTTAGTATTGTGTTGACTTAACGAATTTTCAAACACTAAATCTTAAAAAAAAAAAAAAAAAAAGATAGTAAAATAAGAAATTTTAAAAATTAAGTAGAAATTTAATTGTAAAATATCAGTGACAAAAGTTACAATCAAGTCTTTTTTTTTTTATATATTATTGTAATGTAATAATGTTGAATTCCTAAAATTAATTCATGTTTTCTAATTATATAAGTAGAATACAACTAGCTCATTTGAGATCTAATTAATTAAATCCATAAATAAAATAAAATATAACTAGCAAAAAAAGTGATAATAAACTAATAATAAAAAATAAATCCTAAAAATTTAACGATTCTGCCGATAGATCTAGTTCAATTAAGTTGAAAAAGATATGTAAATTGATAAACTCTGCTATCAAATTTGATTTATATATATAATTTTTTTCTTCATAATATCTATTAAAAGTATATACTACTACACGTAAGAGCATCTCCAGTGGGAGTTGCTTATAAGCAACTCCCAATCCCCTCTTCCCAGCAGCACCCTTACTTTTCATCTTCTCAACATTCTCAACTCCACCCTCAACACTCCCAGCCACCGCACGCGCGGTCTTCAAGTTTCGCTTCACGCGCGCCTTCTTCAGTTCCTCCACGGGAACATCCAAATTCCCAACACTGGAATCAGAAACCTCAATCAAACTCGGATCCCGCGTACTCTTGGGTTCTTCCCTCCCCTTCTCCTCCGGAGCATCATCGCAAACCCTAACCGCACTCCGCTCTCTGTTGGACCTCCGCGTTACACGCGCGGGTGCAGGCACGCGCGCAGGTTCAGCGTTTAGCACACTGGCGTCGCCGTTTTGGTCGAAGCTCTGAGGCTGAACCCTACCCTTGGCACCCCTAGCTCTGGGTCTGCCTCTAGCGCGTGGGGCGGGAGGAAGCGGAAGCGTGGATTGAGCGGGGGGTTGTAGGAAGAGGACGTGGATGGAGGTGAGTTCGCCGATCTTGATGGTGGAGTCGTGGTGGAGAGTGAAGGGGGTGTTGGGAGGGACGCTGGAGCCGTTCAAAACGGTGCCGTTTGAGGAGTCGAGGTCGCGGAGGACCCATTTGTTGGATTCGGTTAAGATTGAGAGGTGTTTGGAGGAGATGCCGGGGTCCTTGATGGGGAGAGTGTTGCCTTTGACGACGCGACCTATTCGAACTGCGGATCTGGGTTTGAATTCTAGGGTTTCACCTTGTCGAGGACCTTGCAGGATCTCTAGTCTCAGAATCGGAGCTTCTTCTTCTTCTTCCATTCTGCCAACAAAAAATTGCCACCTTCTTCTCCCGCCCACGCTAACTTCAAAACAATTCAAATAATAATAGCTTGGAGACTTCACAATGTCTTTCACATTTTGAGTGTTTTTGGTCCGTTAGATATGATGATACATTTAAAATTAACGGTTCAGATTATTTTACTTTTTTCACCCTTTCCCTTCGCTTTTTCGCACTGATCTCCATCGCACCCCAACCACTTCCCTCCCATGCAAACAGCAGCAATGCAACAAAATTGTATGTTTCAGAGAAGTGTTGGCGACCGTGATTGGGGTTGATATCCAAAAATGGACTCGCCGGAGCTTCAGCCACTACCGCCGCCAGCAAGACAAACCTTGAGGCTTAATGAGGAGGCGGTGGCGGAGACGAAAAAATGGGGCAAAGGTAAACTGGGAAAAGGAGTAAAAATTAAAGAACAAAAATAAAATAAAAGTATCTAATGCTGTAAATTAGAGCTGTAATTAAGTCCAATTGGATTAAATTTGAATATGTTACTTCGATGAAATTGGATTTGATTATTTTCTAAAAGAAAAATAACTCGATCAAAAATAAATCAAATTAAATTGATTCAATTTTTTTTTT